ATGGATACTTTGACCCACTAAATCATACTTTATATTCACTTATTTTGACAAAGCTATATATGTATAGCTATGTCAGAAGACATTCTGTATTTGATTTATTGTCTCATTACATTGGCAATACACATAACTATTATTTTGTACGTTATCAAAGTTTTACAATGACAGTGATGAAGACCGCACCATAGAAGTGCAGGTAAATTTATAGGTAACAGGTTTTTTTTTTTTAACAGGACATCTTTTACTGCTTTTGAAGTGGTATTTTCTTAAGTATTATGTTGTTGAAAGGAGACACTGTATCCCCAGAAGCATTTTTTTTCAATGCCTTTACAATCAGACTTTTAAAGTTCACCTGTTTTGTGGTTTTAGCCTTGCAGGACAAGGTTTTATTTATCATGTCTATTTTTACTTTTTTTAGGTGCCTTATGTTAAATGTTATCATTTTATTGTCTCTAATTTTAGGATGTTATTGATGTTAATTATGGCTCAATCAAGGTACTAAGGTGAATCTTACAAGCACAATTCCTGGTCACATTTCATACCAGAATCAAAAGAAAAAAATTTCAAAAGAAAACATTTTAAATTATAATTTTGCATAGACATTAGGGCTATTCTAATTTTTGACATTGTGCCATTATTTGAAAAATCATAGTAATGCATTTTTAAATCAACATAAAGCACAACAAATACTACCATGATGTATAAATACATTCATATTATGTGCATTACCCCAATAAGAATTTTGGTGCTACAATTTGTAATTGCCTTAAAATTTTAAATTTGGCATTTAATTCAAAATATAATTTAATTTATTTTTTATGTTTTTTTTTTATTTTGCGGCTGAAAATGACCTGAACCTCATTTTGTGATTCACCTGTCTCAAGACAAAATAACTAAATCTTGAATGTTCTCTTTAAGACCCAGATTTACTTTAATATCACTAGAACTAGTTCTAAGACAAAGTCTGAAGTACTTTAGTTCAGCTGACCCACACAAGTATCATGGTATGATCCCAGATCCCATCAAAAACCACTGCTCGTAATACAGAAACGTGTTTCAGACGAGTTTCAGTCTTCATCAAAGGAACATTGTCCTCTATGGAAAATAAGGAATGAATTTATATGTCTTACTCCTACAGTCTGTGTATAGAACTGAACTAAGAGCTGTCTTGAACATTAATAATTTGGTGGATTGTATAGTTAAAGGTACATCTGTAACCTTTATTCAACAAGCTAATGCATTTGTAAATAACTAGTGTTAACTATATTATTCACATGATAACAGCACATCTTAAATTGGATGCCACTCAAGAGGTTCAAAATGAGGACAAAATGAGGAT